GGGGGAGGGGGAGGGGGAGGGGCGGGGGGGCCGGCGCGGCCCCACTTACCTTCTGGATGGAGGACTTGCCGCTGCGCCGGAGCCCCATGAGCAGAATCCTCGGCTTGGAGCTGTCAGCGCCCCCCGGGCCGCAGCCTCCGCCGGCCCCCGCCCCAACCCCGCCGCCCGCGGCTGCCGCCTCCTCTTCCTCCTCCTCCACGCCGTAGCCGAAGTCCTTCGGGAACGAGTCCGCCGCGCCATAACTGCCGGCGAGGGGCGTCTCCTCCGCCCCGTACTGCAGGGACATGGTGCTGGAGCCGCGGCCGCCCGCGCCCTGACAGGCCAGGCCAGGCCGAGCCAGGCCGCCGCCTCCCCAGTCCGCCGCCACCACCGCCGCCGCCCCCGGCAGCCGCCACCGCCGTGCGGCCCGCCCCCCGAAGCCGGGCTCTCATAGGCTCCGCGCCTGGACCCGGCCTCCCATTGGCCGCCCAAGCTGCCACTCGGGAGCAGCAGGGTAGGTGGTGCCCGTCACGTGCCCGGAATCACCTGACTCGGAGCCGTGGAGGGGGGAGGAGGAGTCACGAGGAGGGTGGCCCGGTCGGGCCGAGCCCTCTGCCCTCGGCCCCAGCCCGCACCTCGGTCCTGCCCAGCCACGCGCCTTGCTCCTCACAGCTCCCCTACCTTCTTCGGGGCTCCGGAGGCCATCGCAATGGGAGATGCTCTCTGGGCATTTGGGAGAACTGATTGTCCTACCACTGTTGTGCTCACCCAACCACTATTTATTGATGCCCGCGAAGTCCTGGGGCACGAGGGGCACAAAACTGGAACCGACTCGGACCCTGCCTGCCCTCAAGGTGCTCCAAGATTAATAAAGACCGGGCGTCTGCGTAAGTAGCTTCGGTACGAGATATGAAGTAGGAAGGTCAAAGGTGCAGATAAAAATGCTCGGGAGTTAGGTAGGTGAAAGTGTCTCTAAGGAGCTGGCGTCTGAACAGAACTAGAAGGATGGCTATGGTTGAGATATGCACAGGTATCGAGGAGGAGCCAGCCAGAGTGAGGACAAAGCCTCAACCAAGGCAGGGTATGGGTGAGATTGTTCTTTCTAGCAGGTAGCTGGATCCTGACGGGAAACCAAACGTAACCAAGCTAAAATGTCACCTCTTTCTTGAGCAAATCACTTGACAGTGAATACTGCTGCCATTTCAGACTCATCAGGACCTAATTCCCCCTCCTTCCCACCTAGTAAAAGTCTACTTCTTCAGTAATTCCATCCCCCGTAGAACATTCATCTAATATGACCAGATCAGAGACCAGAGAAATGAGTAACGAAAGCAAACCAAAGCAAATGCTTGTCACCAAATCTGTTTGGAAAGCTAGAGGAATTTTCACTCTTCACAGTCGGGCTTTAAAACTGGAAATTTGACAAAAGAGGATCTTCCTCTTAAAGGGGGCATGAGTGGTGGTACTGGTCTTATAAGGAAATTAACTTACTGATTATGAAAGGAAAGCATGTATGCAGAGCTGGTTATGTGTGAATCTAGAAGTTAAAGGTAGCACACACCCTTTGAGGTCATCTAGTCCAACCTCTCACCTAAAAAGAATCCACTCTACAGAGTCTGAGTGATAGACATGAAGCATATGCTCCAGTAGTTCCAAGGGGAGAGCTCCTTATCTCAAGACAGCCAATTCCCCTGTGGCAAAACTGTTTAAAAGTCTCTTATTGATGCCAAAAACCACACTCCCTGGAGCTTATACACCAGAATGTATAAGCAGTGGTCTTCCTCTTTTTCATGACAGCCCCCCAAATAGTAGATTATAGCCTTCATTACCCACTAAGTCTTCTCTTTTCCACATTAAACGTACTCATTTCCTTCAGCCATAATGTCCAATAGCACTTTCTGTGATGATAGAAATGTTCTCTCTCCATCTACACTGTTCAATACAGTAGCCAATGTGGATTGAGCACTTGAGATGTTGCTAGTGTGACTGAGGAACTGAATTTTGTATTTGGTTTTAATTGCCAGTTGTGGCTAGCAGCTACCATATTGAACAGCACAACCTTGTATTTTCAAATGCACTGTCCTTTATGTGCAATTCAACTTGTCAACATCCATCAAATTTCTGACACATACAATGCAGTACTGACCAATACAGCCTTTAGAGTGACTGTTTAGCACCTGGACAATATTTCTATTAATGCTTTCCAGATGGAATTTTTTTTCAAATATCCAGATAGTGTAAGTGGTTCACACTGATAATCACTGTAGCTAGTACTATGTTAGCAATCCTAGTGCCTAAACTGGTATAGCTGCATTTTTTTTAACATAAATCTAAGACTTGATATTTCAACTTTTTTGTTTAGACCGTGAAATTTAGGTACTCCAATTTGTTAATCATTTTCAAGCTCATTTCAATATAATCTACCAACCAGCCCTTCCAACTTTGTGGCACTTACAGAATTGGCATTACTACCATCTGACCCATATGTAGTTCTTTACAATTTACAAGGTACTTTTTCATCCATTATATTTAATTTGATCCTTACAACACCTTGTGAGGTAGGCAAGATATGAAATCTACATTTTATAGATAAGGCAGCTGACACAGCAGGAACTGAATGGATCAGATCCTTTTTTACTCCGCTGAGCATCTTCTTGGATACTGTCTTCATCCAGATTCTTGATAGAAATGAAGAGGACCTCCAGAGGCCAAGCTGACCCTGAATTCTTACATAGCACTGACTGGTATAGCAGTTTAAGCAGGTCAGTTCCTGCCCCAAGTCTGATTACCAACCCACAGGTTGCCATTCTGTTCAAAATGATGGTATAGTCACCTGACTTACATAATTTTAATATCAGTCCCATTGGAAAAAAGGCAGATGAGGGTTGGTTACCAGAAAAAACTTCTACTTGCCTGTATCCACCAAGAGATAGTCATACCAACTGCTTAAAGAAGCCAAGTCTCCCTCTCTTCCAAAACCCCTATGGGGCCATGTTTTATTATCATTTATGGTTCTTAGCACATCCTGTCCCACATTGTAATTGGTTGTATGCATGTCTTACAACTAACTTCAAGTCATTAATCTTTATAACACTTAGTACTCAGCCCACTGCTGTCTGTGTAGGAGGCACTCACGTTGGTAAAAGATAAACCAATTCAAGTGAACATTCTTCCAACAGTATCTGGATCTCCTCCAAAAACAAACTTGTGACTAGAAGAGGCACAGACCATTGCTACATTCCTGCTAACATGACTGATTAAAATGCCCTTATAATTGGCTTGGTCACAGTTTCCAGCAGGTGCTGAGGCTTTTGCTTGTTAAACCAGCTTTCCTTGGATTGTTTTGTTTTCTTTGTGTGTTTTGACCAAAAAATAGAGTTCTCTAACAATAGGGACAGAATACATGAAATAGGACTACTTAATATGTCAGTCAACCAATAAGGAAAATAAGTGATCAGTAACACAAAACATCTGACTGTCAGTCTTCCAAGAAAGGAAAAAGGACTAACAAACAAGAATATAGTGCTTTACCATTTACAGATCTTTCACATACATTCCATTTGACCCTCACAACAACCCTGTGAGGTAGGCAGCACAGATAATCCCGTTGAACAGATGAGGAAAGTGAATCTCAGAGCAATTAACTGATGTGCCCAAGGTTCAATACAAAATATTGATGTGCCCAATACAAAAAAATTTGTATTCATATCAGTCTTTGGCCTAAAAATTCAGCACCCAACCTCCCGTCATACTTGTCTACCTACTTCACAGGGATAATGAAGATAAAATGAATTCAAGGCTAGAAAAATACTTTGAGGGAAAAAAAAGCACTATGTAATTATACCCGCAAACTATAATTTTCCACGATATATGGCTCATTCCCCTTCTCATCCCAGCTTGTGCATGAACCCAGAATTTTATATTGCCTCTGTTCTGTGTTCAACTAAGCAACTAAGTAAGGCAGGGGAACAGTGTGATCCTCTTTAGTCATATAAATTACAATCAGGGTAACTGCTATTATAGCAAATTGAAAAACAACACAGAAAGGCCAATTTGCAATTGGGACCCACTGCAGCACACAGCAAAGCAAGGCAACATTATCAGATAGGGCAGGATTGCATAGAAGGAAACGTGGTGTCAGAGTTCACACTGGCACACACACACAGTTATCTAAGGCAAAGTGGTGGCAAAGAAGAGTCATTTGTTCCACATTATATAAACAAGAGCAGAAGATTCATGAGAACCCATGCAAAAGCATCTTTAAGTCACACACATCTCTCCAGCTACCTACAGAGAATATAAACAACAGTGTCATCTTCATTTTAAAGAATGACTGTACCTGTGCTCTTATCCTGAGCTAAACCAAGGAATAGCTCCACGCTAAACCTCCTTGGCTAAAATACAACCAGTACCATCATTCCTAGTCAGACTAATAAACAGAATGTCTTTTAAGGTAATGAATTAGATGGCTGTGTTTAGATTTTTTTTTTCAGGATTCATTTTTGATTCTCCTGCTTTTAAGACCCAAAGAAAGTTATATTGAGTTTTTATTGGTGATTCTAAGTATATGTGTTTATAACAGTTAAAGTGTGATAGGTGAATTTAACATATTAAAAGAGTGCTATAGCATCTGTTCGGAAAAGATCATATACTACACAAACTATTCAAGTCATACAAAACCATTTTTCAGTGTCTTTTCAACTGAGAAGAATCCTATTCAGCACGCTTCTCCTCCTGAGGTGGTTCATACTGAGCAAGCTATGGGGCAAAGACAGAGGAGTTTAGGTGAATTTTATCCTAAATTGGATAACAAACTTAATAGTAACAAAACGAGTTAACTATAGTATTCAATTTAATTACTGAATCAGTAAGTTTATATTAAAATCCTGTCCTTTTTAAACCACTCAGTGATATTTAGTATTTAATAAAATCAAACCTAATGAAAGCTCTTTTTATATAAACGTTTACAATTATTCCCATTCATGACTGCACTGCACAAATACTTGATATGCAATTATCTAGATCTTCCCAAAGATTTTGTGGCTTATAGTAAGGTCCTTTCTTCCTCTCCACCATAAGTTTACTGAGCTTTCTCCTAAAAAATAGGAAAAGAGAACTATGTGACATATATTAATCTAGCCACTCAATAGAGAGCAGCTAACATCCTTGACTTAAAAGATGCCAAAAAGTTATCTGGCATTTACACGTTGTGGAATCCTTGGATAATTTAACATACTGCATTTTCTTTTGTGCTGAGTTGTGGTTCCCTGCAACAACACTAAACTAAGATTTGAGTTGTTCCAATTAGCTGTTGGATTTGAGAACATAACTCAGTGTGCTTTAGTTTCCTCACCTATAAAATGGTCTGTGTACCTGTGTTCACTTATCTCACAAGCTGTTGAGAAGATAAAACACGAGAGGTGCCT